TGAAATGACTGCAACTACTTGCATAGAGATACTGTCCATTAAGTGGAATTAAAATCAGATAAGCATAATTTTATTGGCTTCAGCTATTACAGCTAATTATCTTGTGTAGTGTTCATAAATATTCAGCTGCATAGTATTAGCCTATAGCCCACATTAAACGTTACAATGCTTGGGATGAACCAGGCAGAAGGAAGTAGTGGGGAGGGATGTTTAAGTGATGCTTAAAGCTGTCAAATGCCAGAAATGTTTCCTGTGCATCCCCAGATCCCTGTAAGTTCAAATATACTATGTTAACATCTGCTACCACGAGACCACACTACAGTTTAAAAAAGAGAGAGAAACTGGGCAGCAATGTGCTATTTTCATATTTATAACTACACAAAACTACAGCTTCATACAATGAGGGATTTTGTACAAGCAGCTTGAATCTGCTCTGATAATTAAAGGTGAAGGATTTTGAACACTAAGACTACACCTTTCCACAACAACATCAGGTTTCACAGCACAAGGCATTTGCACAGCACTTAAGGGAACACATGAATAAGCTCAATTGTGTAAAACTTCCCTAATAAAAACCTGACCAAAAATAAACTACTTAAGAGCAAAAGAGATTTGGGAGTGGAGGAACATGAGTCAGTAGAAGGGCTTCTAAAATCAGCAAGTGGTTTTAAAAACATGAATACAGAAAAGCTGCTCCAATGAGTAATAAAGACTAAATTCCTACTCAGGAAGAAACAGCTTTGTATTTTGGGAATTGCTGAAAGAAACTAAACAGGGAACTGCCTTGGTTTTGAGTTGCAAATGGGAAAATACAAATCTCTAGATAAGCTTATATGGAAATATGTATGAAATGTAATTTAATAAACCTACAGTATAAAGATCTTTAAGAGGACATAGAGTTCAAATTACTTTAATGAATTATAAAAAAAACCTAAGCACTTCTGGAAAAGCAAGGATATAAAATATCCTCTTATTCAAGGCACAAAAAATCCTCTATAAAATTAATGAAAGCTTGACATTAAAATTAAAAGACTGAAGAAACACATCTTTATCCAGGTGACAAAAGAGAAGGAAGGAATTCTGAAGAACTATCTTTATAAAAACATTAACAAGAGAGCAATTGTGAAAACCAAACACACACTAAGTAAAAGAAACCAGTGTTTACCCTCACCCCCTCAAACCAAACCAGAGATACCCAAGGAAGATATAGGTAAGGCATTTTACTGAAGGATTATTTTGTCATCAGTCTACAATTAAACACACACCACCCTGAGATCCAGATAAGCAACAGTGAAATAAATGTTATCTGAGAACTCCCTCACAAACCCATTCTCAAGAGCGTGAAACGGTCACTGGTATTGCTCAGAAATAATAAGAACAGGTGCAGCTGCTCACCCCCAACCCTGGATCCAAAGCTTTGTCTGCATAGCTCCTTCCTTATCTTCTTTCTGCCCATATCATGGTATGTTCTCAATATATCATGTTCTCTGACAAAGTTGTTACTTTATGAGAACAACACTTCTCCTTCCTCAAGCTAACATATTTACTAGAAATTAATATGTTCTTAGATTTCTTAAGTAGTAAATAATAATAATAACAACAATAATAGTGAGTATAAGACCTTTTACCTTCAGGATTTGCACATGCCAGTGGAAATGCTGGTTCCAAATGCTTGGCTCTAGGAGTGGTTAGAAATCAGCAGATATGCACCAAAAGCACCTCATTCACACCCAAACCCAGCCCATGCTGCTCCTGAGAAGACCCACGCAGCACACCAGGAAAGAGCTCTGCTATTCCTGCTGACTGGCCACTCCATCTGTGCCCCTCTCCCCAAAGCCACGCTGCAGGGGCATGCAGAAAGCCTGCCATGCACTTTGGGGAGGCTCTGCATGAAGCCAAGGCTCTGGGCAGAGCCAAAGGAGGATGCAGCTCTCCTGGGGTTCAGCATCCTTTCATCGCCTAAGAGGACGAGTGAGACCATCCAGAAGGGATTTGCAGAGCCAAGAACTGATGAAACAGTGTCTGAACATGCTTCCTAGACTGTGAGACCAACTGGAAAATATTTATCCAGATCTTGTTTTTTCTTTTCTTTTTAAATCCCACTTCCCTCTTCAAGCTGTCATAAAAACAACTGGTCCTCTTTTGGGAGTTAAGCATTTCCTGAAGAAGGGAACCATTCTGCCATTCTGGCACAAAGATGAAGCAAAACACAAGAGGCCAGGCAAGCATTAGAAGGAAGACAAATTTTTTAAAAAGTTGATAATCTCCAAGTATTTCAGAGGAAAGTGGAAATACTTTTAATTGAGTGAGGCTGTGGAAGTGGAGGACTTGGCTTTGTGGACAGAAGAGAGACGGAACGTGCACCCCTGTGTTCTCCTGGTTCAAGTCCAAAGTGTGCCTCTCCCACTGTGTATTTCACAACACAGAAAAGGTCTCTTGGGCTTCAGTCATTGTGACAAGAATTTCTGTCCAAACAGACATTTCCTGGGGCACTTTTGATCAAGCTTTTCAGTGTAAAACTGTTTGCATATTTTGGAGAAACCTCATGTCTCACACCATCCTGTGGTTAGAGTGCCTGAGCACTTTTACCACAGATCTCAGCTGCATGAGAATTACCAAGTTCTGCTTCTTGAGGAGAGGAAAACATCAATTTTCTTGGATTTTTCCTTGAACAGTAAACAGGACTATAGGCATGGAAAGACACCCTCTGCCCATCCAAACACTAAAGCAGTCAGAGGACAACTGAGTGATTCCCACTGAATTAAACTCATGTGGAAGAACACAAGATTTGATCCCTTCTGAGCATCTAGATTGTGGCTGAAGAACATGACAGATGTACATTTCTCTCATCCCTTTAATCTTCAAGTCAGCTCCCTCAGACCTCAGCTCTAAACCCCAGAAGCTCACAAGTTTTACCACTGTTTTAGCAGGTCTCAGCCTGCAGTCTAGCACAGGGCAGGAGCCTCTGCCCAGCAGCTCCAGCTAATTATGGCACAGGCAGCACTTCTTTAAGGAAAAATAAAACCAGTGGAGAGCAATTAGTTGTCCTCTGACTGCATATCCCACACAGCTGTACCTCTTACAGGGTGAACTAGTTCTGTTAAACACAAGCTGTCATCTACCTGAGGGATCAGAGATAGAATGTCTGTGATGGCAAAGAATGAAAAGAAGCCCCATGGAGGTGTTTGTCCATCCCACCAAAAGCTCTGTTTTCCTGTGAAGTGGCCCAAGCAGGACCTGGCAGTTGAAAGTGATTTTATGGGTGACTTCATCAAATTTATTTCCCCAAACATCTTCTCAGCTATAATTTTCTCCCTCAAGAGAGTTTGACTTTTAATCTATAGACCCATTGTTTTTCTCTCAGTTCCTGAATTGTGACTCCCTTTGTAAAACCAGTTTTGGCAGGCTCAGACAGAGGTTTGGCCCACCCAAAAAAGAACCAAAAGGCTCTGTCACTGTCCCATAACTGGCATGAAGTATTTACCAAGTGGTGCCTTCTCTCAAATAATCCTTTTCCTTTGTTTACTTTACATGCTACTAAAAAGCAAAACATCCCAATAACACAGAGACTGGCAATATTTGTGAATTATGAGAGAACCACTTGGTATCAAAGGGCACCAGAACAGAGGAAAAAAAAAAGAATGCTCAGCCCTTCACAGACTGTGGCATTTTGATCCAAATGCTCATATCACATCCAATACCTTCCCAGAAGGTCTCAACAACAGTGAGAGTCTGTAGTAGAAACCTTTGTTCCTAATCTGAATAAACACAGAGGAAAGAAAAAAACCAACCAACTTCTTAATTAGAAGGCTTCTACAGAAAAGAAAAAGAAGAAAAGTAGTTATGTTACTTTCTTTTTCCTCTCCATGTGTTCCACACAATTCATTAAGCATCATTTAGCCAAATATCTATTGAAAGAAGTCTTGGAAAAATTCAATTGACTGTAAATAACTAGGCTTGGACAGATATAATCTTTCTCAGTTATTTCTTCTTTTTGGTCATTTGTTTTTGTTTTAAAGCAATGTGACAGCTTCCAATAGCAAGCACAAGCCTGTCAAGGACATTTCACAGTGACTGAAAGACGGAACACCTCTATAGATATAGTATATACTTCTTTCACTACTACTACCCAATTTTTTGGAATATTGGTGACTTGTTCAGCAGCCTCAACTGTATCCAGATGTTACCAGGTTTTTAATATGATAATCTGGAGGACTCTGAAAAGTGCTGAGGTTTTGGGGAGAAGGAAGGTTTATTTTTGGTTTTATTACAAATTTAAACTTTGTGGATTCTTTTCCAGGCATCATCAGTTACTGGGTTCAAGCTGGGTAGCCCATGAGAAAGTCTCAGAAAAGCCTGAGAAAAAAGGCAAGCTTATCCTCTTTACCCCTCATTTTTTCCCTCCTTGCCTTAAGAGTGTTGTTATCAGCAGGGTAGATTTAAATGAAATCTCAGACTGGCATCTTGCTGACCTCAATCCCAGCTGGCTAAACCCTTGCACCATGCCTGTCCTTGGCATCTACCAGAGAGCAGACACCAATCCAGCTGCTTGATTACGAAATGGAGAATCTGGTATGAGGAACTAGATCCATTCCACTGTCTGGAACTCTGTTTAAAAGACAGCTTAATTTCTCTCTCTCCCTGGTACTTCATTGACAGGAGCAGGCTTGATATCTCAATCAGGGCAGCACAACACCACAGAGGATACTGTGCCTGCAGGACTGTGTATACCACACACTTGAGAAGGAAATACTACTGCTATCACCAGGTGATGCTTCTTTTAAAGGGATCTCTAAGTCTTAAAGCACACACCAAAATATCTCATACCACTTCCTTATCAGGAAAGGACCTTTTTTTCAGTTGCTTTTTACAAGATAGAACATCAGAGCATCACTGTCACATTAATAAAAACAAGTTACAGAACAGTTTAAACAACTGTCGTGTCCCTCGCTACACTCACCTGTTACACAAACAGAACAAAACAAAAGTGAGCTCATTACCTGTACTCATAACAGTTTGACTGTCCTCTGTCTTCCCTTCAGTTATGGACTTGCTGCCAGGCTCCCCTTTCCGACTCATGATCTTTGAAAAGCCACTGGAGAGGGAGGAGAAGATGCCCCGGATGAAGTAGCCCTGCTGCTCGGCGTCCTGCAGGAACGGCCGCGCGTTCCCGCTCCCGGCCTGCGGCTCGGGCTCCGACAGGGAGCGGCTGAAGGGCACCCGCAGCGGCCTGCTCCTTGGCAGGAAGGGTGGCTCAGGTGGGTCTTCCTGGAGACTGTCAGCACTGGTAGCATCCATGCTTGCAGAACTTTTGGCAAGACTTGGATCATTGCATTCCCCTTTCAGACTGGAGGAGCTCACTCTTTTGTTTACCCTCCAGAGAGGCCAAGGATGGGTTTGCCACCTGTACGCTGCAAGAGGTTTCTCTGAGTCAAAACTCAACTGCTTGTTCAACTTCTTGCTTTTCATTCGGTGGTACCAATGGGAGTCCTTCAAGGCAGCTATGCCAGCATCTTGTTCTGACAAAGTTCTTCTGAAGGTCCTGGGAGAAAGACTATGATGCTTTTTGAAAGCGCTCATTTTCCACCCTTTGGATTCCGGCGCTTCACTTACATTCCTTGTTGCTTAGTAGTCACGTAGCTGTAGTTCCTCACTCACCAATTTACATCCCCAGTTTCTTTGCTCATGGCTGTGAACTGCAAAACAGCAGAGGTTCTTCCTGAAGACCTTGAGCACCAATCCCAGAACCAGGTATTCCTACATCTCCACAAGAAGGACGTGCCTCACCTGTAGCACACCGACTTCTAATGGCACACGAAGCCTTGCTGAGCTTGCGATCGCTTCCTGGGCTGTCACATTTCTGCACCAAGCTCTCAGGAAATGACTAAAAGAGCTCAGCAATGAAAACCCACAGTGCTGTTCTGTACCAATCACACTTCACTTTTTTCAGTCTACACTAAAGATTTGGTTAAAAAAAAAAAGGAATGCAAAAAGTACTTTGCTCTAGAGACGCAGCAATGTCTAAGAAAAGTTGAAAAATTACAGTACTCAACTAAGAGTCATGCATATGTTCTTCAGTTAAGTAGCAAAGTATATTACTACATATAAATACAAAGTTTCTATTTACCACAGGTATATTGCATCACTTAAGAGTACCTCAGAGCTGCCTTTTAGAGAAAGGTAATACAGGCAGATTTATCAGAATCGAGTGCTGCAAGCACGAGACAGGAAAGCAAAGAGGAGGAATGGAGGAAGGAGAACAAACCCTGCAACTCAATGCAGTGTAAATACACTGAAGGGAAATAAGTAAAGAGAAGGAGAGAAGGCACCGAGAGGGTGGGTGGGACTTCACCATACACAGACCAAAGGGAAAGGTTTGAGGCAGGGCAAACAGAACAGGGCAGCAGGAAGATACTCCTTTTTCTCCTCCCCCTTTCTCCCCTTTTTAAACAGCAGAACAGGGGATTATTTTTTATAAATCTAGTTGCAATAAATGAGATGGAAAAAACAGTCCTATCTGCTTAACCAAGAGGAAAAACCCTCTTGCCTTCACTACAATTTAAGAAACAGCTGACTGTTCTAAAATCTCATAAAGAAAATATCCGCTGGTGAACAAAGAACACACTTGCCAAGTTTTAGATCAGAACACTTAAATCTCAAGTCTACTTAAATCCCTGAAAATAGGGGGTTTCTAATGGAAATGCTGACACACCCTTGGCAATAAAGTAACAATGAAAACTACTCCTCTAGTTAAATAAAATGATAATCTGGTCTGGCAGACCAATAAAGCTTAACTGACCCACTATGGGATCCTGCCTTTAAGCTAGGCTGCATTCATCAGCCAAAGTACATTCATGTCAGCTGCAGATGCACAAACTTCCTTACTTATGTGTATATGTGGGAAAGGGTATCACTGCTCCCTAGAACAGAGAGGGAGTTACCCTAAAACCTCCTTCAAATTAAAAAATAATTTCTCTACTCAATAGCAAGTTTGACTTTTCAATTATAAATGACAGAAGCAACTATCTAAAAATCACCATGTTTAAGAAGTCACAACAAATAACCAGAAACAGTTCAGACACTGCAATGCAGTTTCTCAGCAAATAATGATGCTGCCTCTTGTGCTCTGTCAACATCACGCTGCTCAGAACATAAGTCTGGAATGACAAAATGTACCTAAACCACAGCTCTGCTACAATTTCCATCCAGAGCAATGAAGTTTCAAAGAAGCACAAGCAGTGAATACAGAGATACTGGTACTCCTGTGAAAATGAGATACAGACTCCACCAGAAAAAAAAAAAAAAATTTAGCTGGCTTTTGTCTTCTGCTTCTTGATCCCAGGGGTTGCTGATCACCTTTGGTTGCAGCCCATCTGGCCCCATGGACTCACACAGGTTCTTTAAATAACTCCTGACTTAACCCTCACCTATTGCTGGTGGCTGTTCTCCTCCTCAATCCCTTTCACCAAGCACAGAGGGCACGGGTGTCTGTGTTTTCAAGACTGAGGCAAAACCAGGAGCACTGAGAATCCCAGTTTTAACTGGGTCTGCTGTTACTGGCTCCCAAACCCCTTCCAGCAACGGGTCCTCCTTCTCCTTGTTGAGCTTTTTGCTGCTAATGTGGCAGCAGTGCTTTGGCCAAATGCTTTGAATTAGGCAGGTTAGTAAAGCAGGCTTTATGGAACGTCAGGAGTATGAATAAATCCGATGGATGGTGATGTGGTTGGCTCCAGTGGCACAAGCCATAATCAGCAGGGAAAGCTGAGAATGTGAGGCAGGCTTCTGGTCAGCTCTGAAAGCTGTGTTTGCACAAGTTTCCACTAACATATTGACATCTCCTTTTGGGTTGGGAGCACGGAAGGGCAGGAGAGGACAGAAAATCCAGACAGACTGTGCAGGAGCTGAAATCCTTGTGGGGGTGCTTGCTGTGGATTTCTTGTGTGCTTTGTAACTCCTGCTGATCTCTGCCAGGCTGGGCACCCACACAGACTCTTGTGACAGCCCTTGGAGAGCCCTTACCTGCCCTACTGGAACACTTGGTACCCCTGAGGAATGACTCAACTTGGATAATACAACCCTAGCAGCACCACGGCAGGGATTTAGCACAACAACACTTTGGACAAGACAGAACATTAGGCAAGACACCAGCCTCTGCATGATCACCGGGATTCTCCCCTCTTTTTTCACCACCATCCTGTGGACACCTGACTGTGCAGAAACATTCCCTTCCAAATATAGCTGGCATTGCATTGATCACTGACTCACAGCCCACCCAAATCAGAAAGGGAGCACACAGAAAGATTAACCACGTCTCAAGTTACAGCACAAAGCAACGTGCAAAACCAGTTATGGGTTAACTGCTACTCAAAATTATTTTTATTGGTGTGGCCAGGGGTTGGACCAGAGCCCTGTACAGACCTAACAATGCAGAGAAAGGCTTCAATAAGCACTCCACGTGAAGCCCAACAACATCAAAGTCACAGTTTAGTTTAAGTTTGAATAATATTGAGAAGGCCCTTTAATTTTTTATTTTTTTACTTCTGGTTTCACTTCTTATTTCATGTTACCACTGCTCAGAAGAACACACTTTGTGATCAAAGGAACGTTATCCTTGGCCTAGCTGAGGTTTCACAGTGTACTCTAGAGAGGGTCTTTCTCAAAGTACTTCTAAAAAGGCAGACAATGTTTACATGTTTATTAACATAAAAACACTGATAGACAAGTTTGCTTAGTCTACCAATAAGATGATTCTTTTAAATAGCTAACTCAAAAATTTTAGCCTGGGCTTGGAGTCAAATCGATCTCTCCCCTCCTTACACACATCGGCAGCAGCAATGATGATGTCCAAAAAAACCCTTTGTCTACACTAATTCAGTGCCACTGAGTTAAAATGTGTCTCAAGTGGCTCCAGCATTTCTTGTGTCCACAGAACATGCAGGCCAGTAATCCAGAAGGCAGAACTTTCTCCTTGATCCCCAGGCCAGTTACTCAGGCTCCAGTCCAGTCCTTCCAGAGCAGCAGTTTATCCTGGGAAGCATTTCACAGTCTCAGTATCACAAAGAAATCAGCTTACAGCAGTGACTGTATTAGTGATGTGAGATCCCCAGCCATACTGAGCCACCCACGCAGCTGTCAGCAGGTAAAAATAATGTCAGGGGAAGAAATGAGTTTGTCAATTAAGTTGAGAAAATCTGAAATATTTTCACTCTTGTTTTTAATACCAGCTGCCTACAAACGTGATCTTCCAGTAGCAAATTTTTCTCAGTTTTCTTTTATTTCTGGTAGTGTTTGCACTTCATTGTGCCAAATCATTCATTTAGCTTTTCAGAAAATTACTATTTTCTTCCTAACAATCCAGTCACTTAATCATCACATTTGACATGTTTAACAGCATTATATTTCACTACTCCTAGATATCTAAGTAATTTATGCACAAAATGCAGATTTGCTATGTTGGAATGGGACTGTATTTCAGCTTTAAGATTGTATTGGGAAAACAATATTTCTTAACTTTATAAGATTTCACAGAAAATATACACAAGCAGCCTTACATTTGCACTGAGCATATGAAGATAAATCTTTGCCAAGGGCCTCCTGTATGGGAATTCTACTCTCCACCATTGAGCTCTCCAGAAAAAAAACTACCCAAATCTACTGCAAAGAGCTTCAGCAATTTCTCAGAGTACGTTGTTTAATAAATACTACCAGCCAATTAAAAAAGTAAAAGAGCAATGCCATAGAAAACCCCAAGTGCACCATTGCCAAGCAGCTGGCGAACCTGGCTCTGATGTTACAAATTAATGTTTAATGCTTTCATGCTCTCTGGAAGCAGTCTAGTGCTTGAGTAAAGGCACTACAAAGTGTAAAATTTGAGTTCATAGCTTATATTGTAAAAAAAGGATGAACTGCAATCTCCCATGACCAAACTCTCCATTCTGAATTAGTTTTGGACCAAACAAACTTATCAGCTTCTCATTTTTTAACAAGATATGGAGGGGAAAATGAAAAAGAAGACAGTTAAAAGAGGAAAAAAAAAACCAAAACCAAAATGCCACACAGCCATCAACATACGTTAACATTTATTCACTACACTTGGTTTCAATCAAATCCTCTCTTTTAATTAAGAAAAATTAGCAGGCTAAGCAAATACCACTTCTGAAAAGATTCCAGCTTAAGTGCCCAACAAGCAGCCATGAAATGAGCTTTAACCTGTAGAAAAGTAAGTCAAATTGCACCTTGTGTCCTTCCTAGAGAAACCAGAAGGAATACAGAGGGTCAGGGATCCTAGATTTAGCAGTCTAGCTTCCTTTAGCTCTTCTCCCATTTAAAACTAGCCCAGTGCACTGGAACAGTTCATGGAGAAGTAATCAATATAAAAAGCAGGAATGAACACAAAAGTTTTCCAATTGACCCAACTTGACATGTAGTTAAATAGCACAGAAGATGAAAGATTTTTCCTTCCCTTTAAATTAGACACTTTTCAAAATACTAAGTTTTGTTTATGCAAGGCTAAGTAATTAATGACCTAACATCCCCTTCCCATCTCCTATCACCAAGATGCATCTGTTTCCCTCTGCAACATTTCCTGCAGGTGGATATGACTTTTCCTCAGCTCAGGGCACACCAGTGCACCTGACTTACCCGACCTCTTCATATTTAGTGTTAATTAATGTTTTGAAGTAATACAGAGGACCAATGAAGCAGCACCTC